AACCAACTGAGCCACCCAGGTGTCCCCTTCACCCCCGCTTTTTTTTTTTTAGAAAGGGAGGGAGAGGAGAGGGGAGATATTTCTGTTTATTTCTGTTTCTGTAGTTCTGGGGTCTGTTGTGCTTCTGAACACACCCTCGCCATGTGCTGCCTAGAATCCCATCCTGGCAGAACTGGGATGGGATACTGGAGATTGTATTATCCCCCCATTTATTTTACAGATGGGAAACCTGAGGCCCCGGAGAGCTGGGAGTAGCTTAGAACCATAAGCACTTAGAACCTGGGTAATTATAATAAGGTGGATGGTGCCAGGCCCTGCACTGGACACTTCCACCTACTGCTTGTCACCACCCTCAGAGGTGATGATGACCAGTTCAGTCCTCACTGAGGGAGCCAGGGAGACCAGGGAAGGTTAGTCACGTGGTGGTAACCCAGGCCCGTCTGACACTAAGGCCCCGCTCCTCCCACTGTCCCACTGCCTCCCAGGGGCCCCGCCCCTCCACTCTGGCCCTGTGAATGTGGGCTCAGCCTCCTCCTGAACATCCCCAGGGAAGACGAATGCCCCATGGAAGAGGTACCCTTATTCTGCTTCAGACAGCTTGTATGAGAAACTGAGAAGTTAGTCGAAGGTCCTAGATGGAGGCAGAGTGAGACCGCGGGCCTCCTGACTCCAGGCCCAAGGATAACATAATCCTTTCGTGGTTAGGTTCAAAAAAGGAGAAGTTACCAAAGGAAGACTATCTGAGTAATCCTTGGAAAGACAGTCCTAGAGCAACAAGCAAAACTCTGGACTCTCACGTCTGAGGGGCCACATTTTCTGGTGCTGGCAAAAGCACCAGAGCCAGGGCTGGACGGAGAGCGCCCTCACCTGGGTGAAGTACATCCTGGAGGAGTTGGAGCCCAGGAGCTTGCTCTCAATGTGCTGCTGCACCCGCTCCAGGATGCTGTCCTCGTGCAGGAAGTGAACTTCGTGCTTTGTGGGGTGCACATTGACATCCACGTTCTGGGGGCTGATCTCTAAGCTGGCAGGAAGAAAAGCAAACTATTACTCGGGTGGCGGGGAACAGGGAAAACAATTCTTGCCAGCAGGCTTGTGGGTTCAAATGACAGTGGTCAAAACTTCCAGGTCAAGTCCGAGTGACCTGGATTCTGAAGCTGTGTAGCCTGGGTTCAGTGACATGATCTTTCTTTGCTTCAGTCTCATCTGTAAAGCGGATATAACATGTGGTGGGGCTTAAATTCATGCAAAGCACGCTGCGTGTTTTTACCTGGCGTATTTATTATACATCAGCTGTTACCATCATTCCAGAACTAGTGGAATTTCTTATTGCATGACGTGGAGCAAGTCACTTAACCCCTCTGGATGGGTTTTGTCATCTGTAACCATGAACCTGTTCCCAACTTACTTTTCAGTATTAGGAGGATCGAAATAAGAGTACACGTGAGAGAATGTTCTATCATCAGAATGTAATGTAAAAATCAGTTTAGACACCGTGCCAGCTATCACCTGACTGCCTCGGCTCCACATCCATCTTTCACTGCTTGCTCCATGACCGCAAGGTGAATCTGTGTCAGGAGAGAGCACTGGAGGGACCGTGGAGGAGGAAGGGGTTTTTCTGCCAGGTAGGGGGCAGCTTCTGGCTGGTTCGGGGGCAAGATCCATTATTCACCTTGGTTTCACCAACACGGGGGCTGGAACATGGGAGGTCCTCAGTGAGACTCTGCTGCGTGAGTAAATGAAGGCAAACTATGCCCTTCACCTGTGAGAAAGGACAGAACCTCCTTTTGCCAGTGGCGGATGGGTCCGCTCTGCTAGAGCTATGAGCAAGCCCATCTCTTTCAAAGAGGACAACTGGACAGAATCTGTTCCTTGTGAGTCTCGGGTGAGGAGCCCGACGCTGCCTTACCTGAGGTACAGGAATGGGTGTGTGTTTTTGGGCAAATATGCAGCATACACTGTTTCAATGGCTTTTCTTAAGGAAGTTGACTCTACCAGACGATCTAGAAAATAAAAGGAACGTAACCAGCTCAAAACTGTCCTGAAGGGAGAGGCAACAGGTGCATGTTCGTACCATGCCATGGAATCATTCACAAAAAACACTTCTGGAGAGACATCTACAGCAGACCCCAGGAAAGAAAGGCCTCTTTTAACGTGGCGCTATCCACCAGCATCTGGCTCTGGGCTTCAGGCTCTCTCCTCTCAGCCAAGTCACAGGACCACGGGAGGCAGTAAGTTCTGCCTCCCCGCTTCCCTTCCCTCAGTCAGCCCGGGAGGACTATCTTTGCCCTTGCCCGGCACGGTGGGCAGCATGTGCCGTCAGCTCTCAGACTTTTCAGGCTGCACATACACACCGGCTGCCTGTCACATATGCGATGGGCTGGGGGACAATACGCTGGTGACTACACGAACTCCAGTTCCAGGTGGTAAGCACCACGACAGATGTGCATGCCAAGTGGTGGGAGGATGGAGTAACCAACTCTGCCCGGGGGGCACCGGGGGGTCCCAAGAGTGGGGTATCCCAACTGAGCAATGAGGGTAAGAAAGAGTTTTCCAGGAACTTCAGGCAGTACAACGATCTGAATGTATGTTTAAGGTAATTTAGGAAATGAGCCAGGGTTGAAGAGGGTGGAAAACACTAAAACCTGGGGGAGAGAAGACAAAAATCAGAGGAAAATCTATTTTTAGAAAACACAGACCTCCTTTCTCTCCAGATGACCTGCTCGTGGTCTGTTCTCCTGGGTTGGTGTAGCCAAGGATATGTCCCATGGTTTTATTTCCAATGGGAAGAGAGCCTGTGACCTTACCAATGAGGAGACCATTATTTTCTGAGTGCTCACGACCTCCACGGGCCCTCAACAAGGGCGCTGTCCTCGGTGACACGTGCCCCAAGCATGCAGGCCTGGAGCAGGTGTGGGCCCTGACAAGGGCATGGCCAGAGCCCCTCTGCTGCGATTTCTGGACTGGAGACAGGCCAAAGGAGTGTTCCTTTGCCCACCACCTGAGTGAGAGCGCACGGCGTGGAGATAACTGGACGATACACCTAAGAGTCTGACCTCTGGGCCAGTGGGAACTCGGTGCGGTGACAGACTCGCTAACGCCGACGCAGAGCCCGTGGGGTAAACAGCTCGCCAGCAGCACAGACGGGCTCCGCATGCGGCGCTTACCCTGATTTCTGCTCGTCTATTCTGAAGCCAACACATGTGTCACAAAGCAGTATTCTTCACGGTTAGAAAACCAAGTGAAAACCGTTTCTGAGCCTTGATTAGAGCCAGCTTTATTACAGATCAGCATTAAGTCCTTCTTAATGAAGTAGGAAAAACCGTACTAATATAATATAAATCAGTTTAACAGAATGTATCTATAAAATATTGACTCCCTCTCCTCTGTTTCTATATGGCCTGGAAAACTGCTGTAAAACATGTATAATCTGGACACTTCTGGCTGGCTAGCATTATAAACGGAACAGGGGAATATACCATTTTCAATAGCAAGCCAAGGAAACTATAAAATAATTACAAATTGCTTTGAACAATAAAGGTACTGGATCAATATGATAAAAATTTAAGTACTGAACAAATGGCAAGATGCATGATGCATTTCTGGCTGGAAAATAAAAAACTGAATTAGACCCATGTGTGGCTCCCTGTCACACTCTCTCAAAACCATACTATACACAATCAAGTAAAAAGAAACAGAATGCAAAATAGTATTTACTCAACAAGCAGCAATCATGTAAACAATATGCCTGCAGAGAGAGAAAGACGAGAGGAATCTGACAAAAATCCGAATTTAGTTAATTTCCTCCCTGATTTCTAGTACTGCTCATTATCATAAATAACTCATTCTTTAAAAAGAAAAATCCCAAGGGGCTTAACATTCCATTTCTTTACTAATGACACTGCCTACACCCAAGGTACCCCCTCCCTGTGTCCCGCTGTGCGATTCAAACAGCTGACTCTTGATCTAAGGCCAGAACAAACAATGGCCTGGGGCCTGCTTGTAAGGCTCTGAGGCCAGCAGGGAGGAAGCTGTTCAGGCTCACAGGCGTCGGTGATGCCCTCTCCCAGAGCCAACAACCACACTCTGCCAACAGTAGGCCAGCAATGAGCACATATCAGAGGGTTGAGTAGACTTAGGCTAGAAATTATAAATGCTTCCTAATCAAGCCACACTTCGGCCTCCTCAGGCTGGGTGTAATCCAGCTGGGTGTAATCAAGCCTGTCGATTCGGAATTTTTCCACAGTCCCATAAAATTCCCTGTGGACAGATTTCCCCACATGGTTTTTTTTCACTTACGGTTGATGAAGAGTAAGAAGATGCACTTCTTCACTGAGTAATTTGCATTGGATATGTAGCCATTCATTTTGAAGGCTAGGGTTTTGTCCTCACACCCAACTTCTATCAGTTCTCTGGTTGAAAAAGAGAAATTCTGAGTGTCTTGAAAATAATGGAAAATTCAAACAGTACAAAGAATCAAAGTTGGAAAAATCAGGGCTCCTTCATAAACTAATTTTGCCAAATAAGGACTCTTGAAACTTGGTTGAGGTCCTCTGTGCCCATCCATCCATCCGTCTATCTCTCCATCTACCCACCTACTACTCACCCTATCACTGTTTTCAAGCACTTATGTTCTATGCCAAGCACTGCTCTGACTGCTGGGACATATGACAAATCCAAGCTCTGAGACCTTATTTTGCTGAAACTTTTATGTATCTTACTAACTAAACCCCAAAGACGAAATTCCAAAAGGATTCATTTCTACTGAATCCCTTACTATATGAACACCACCAAAACGGGGCTCCAGTGTGGTGTCCTCAGGGTTGTGCTTATGGGGGGGGTGAGGTTAATGGGTGAAAGGTGGTCCCCATATAAGCCACACTCATCTCTGCCTGAGGATCCTTCCAAGTGCAGGTCCCTCTGCCTGGAAAGCTCCTACTGATAGCTAGTTAATTCCTCCTTATCCCTCATATGTCTGGGCTTACTCCTTCAAAGAGCTTTCTCTGACTATCCCTCTCCCTGACCTTGAGAGATTCTCCTGTTGTGCCTTCTATTTTTCATTTGAGACATCTAGCACAATCACTAATGAATGGCATAATTATTTCATGTGTCTTTCCAACTGGATAGGAGTCCTCTGAGGGCAAGAAGCATTTCTGCTTTATGCTCTACTGTATTTCTCAGCACAGCACCCGGCAAATAGTAGCCATTCATTAAGCATTTGCTGAACGTACGGTGGAAGCTATCAAGTAGTAATGTGTACCCTGAGTCTCTGAGCAGAAAATACAGCTTGCGGTGTTTCTCACACACAATAAACCAGCAAACCCTTTCTTCAAATGACTCAAGAGGCTGGTGTTCTGGAAACACCCTTTGGGAACTGCTGCTCAGTGAGATTTCTAATCTCTTACAGTCCCTCGGAATTTCGTAACAACTAATTCTGAGTCTTTAAATAATAAAGAAGCTCTTACAAGTTTCACTGTACAATAGTATTCTCTCTCTGCTCTGGGAAGAGAGTTTAAAAAACTTAATTGATTAACAATTAGTAAAGAAGAGGGTAATTAAAGGCAAATTGACTGTTCCCTAGTTAGGAGCTTGGTTTCGCTCAAAGAAATGAGTAATTTGTCCTTTGAAGTAGAAAACTGGGCTCTGGGACTACTGCTGCTTCTAAGATTTTTGGAAAAAGTGAAGCCAGGGGCTGTCTTCTCCATCTGCATATGCCCCTCATCTGGGCCATGCCTGGCACATAGAGGGCCCTTAGTATTTTTCCCCTCAGATTATGACATGGGCACTCTGGGCTTTGCAGAGTCCTGAGATTTAGCTAGGACTCTGTGATAGAAATGGTGGTTTTCGCCTCCCAGGGAGGGCCGTGAGGCATCTATACTGCAAGTTCCCCTCGGAGGCTTTCCCTAACAATGAAGATCTGGTAACACTTAGAAGTCTGCTCGCCACCAGACAGGTAATATTTTATTTGTCTTTACATCCTTAACTTCCGGAACAAAGCCTAGAATATGGGAGACAATTAATAAATGTCGAACAATAATAAGTGAAATCCCAAAGTGATGATAGGGAAGTATCAGGAAAAGAGGGAGCGCTGGAAGATGAAAAAATTCTACTACACTGTGAATATTTTGAAGACAGAGACTAGAGAGAACACACTGATTTATAGCCAGAGCATCTGGGAGATAACATGTACCCAAGAAGTGTGGGTTCCTTGAAATCATGACTCCACAAACAAATGTGGAGCATGGAAATAAAGCCGGACTATTTCATTAAAGCAAACTCTTAAGGCAGGTGCTACTTTGATAGATTCCAAACTAATGTATGATAAATGGTAAACCAAGACGTGGAACGTAGATTTTTCAAAATATGATGAATTATCAACATACCGGCTAACAGCATTTCCAAAGATGGAGCGAATATTGTCCACCGTTGTGGCATTAGGCAGTGTCCTAACGTCAGCTACAGTCTCACCTTGCTGATAAACAGAGCAGAAAATACAACTAACTATCTCACAGTTGTGAATGAAACATCCTAATCTTATCTCCTCAGGTGAACTATTAAAAAAAAAAAAATCCCTTTTTCTAATACATAACCATCCCTTATAAACCAATCACTTACTTTTTTAACTGAGAAACTAATGCCTGAATTGTGTATTGAATACCTGGCAAAGAAAAGAACAAAAGAGTAAGCAGAGTGGCCAAATGCACAATGTAAGGCAGAACTCCCTATTGGTTAAATGAATGGGTGGGGTCACGTGATTTAAACAAAGATATACACAGTCAAGAATATCTCCACGTATCAAATTTTACCCACAGGAAAAGAAGCCAGCACAGACTTCAGGGAGCTATCAATGCTAAATGCGGCAGAATCAAATAAAAAACAGGATTTTTTACTTTTATAGGGTTCTGACTAGACTCAGGGATATTTCAATACAATCTCCTCCTTGCCTACAGTTTTACTTTCGTAAACCCACTAGGTCCAGCTTGCATCTTGAGAACCTAGCCTTTACAACTCCTGGGCTCTTTTATTCTCTCCCAGAGCCCCTCAAGACACCCCCCTCCTCACCCACTTCTTTTTCGGCCCCTGGTCCTGTTTTGGCATCTCCCAGTCTTTTCTCAGTTGGCTATTATTTATTTATTATTCCTCCCTCATGGGCCCCACAAACTGAAGGACTATGTCTAGCAAAATGCATTCATTCAGTTAACAATTAAGAATTCACTTGACCACACCTAGAACCAAAAGAGCCAACTACAACTCCTCTATTTCTAGGAGATAATTAATATTCTGATGCTGATTTATACAACTCCAGGGAAAAGCAAAGAAACTTCATGTAGAAGTATGTTCCACTTTCTAAGGAGCAAATGTTTTATTCATTTTGGACTTTTCAGAAATACTGAAAAATAGTTAACAGATCTCTGCTACGATTCAAGGATGTGCAGGCTTAGAGAGCCCATGCTGGATCCACTGAACCAGCAGATGAAGTCAGTCTACAGTGGACATAATGTTATTTTCACCTGCCCCGAACCCTTTCTCCTTCTTCTTTTAACAGGCCCTAGTCTTCCTCTGGGAAACTGCCTCTTCCCCATTCCACCCGATTACCCTTAGAGTGCCAATCCAAGGAATCTCCCCATAGACAGACTGGGGTGGGGTGGGGGGTGGGGAAGCCATACCAATCAGATGTACTCTCCCAGGAAACAGACTCTTGAGTAGAGTCAGGAAAGAATGAAAACAACTGTATCAGGGCCACTATCTAATCCCCAAAACCAGCCTGGTTCTCATCCTCTCCAGGGAGCAGCTGCTGACACTTCTTGCCATTCTTAGCCTTCCAATAAATTTCTTTTGGGCTCAAGTTAGCTGGAGTCCATCTGTTTTGCTTTCCACCAAAGAACCCTCACTGATGCACAGACCAACAGCTCTCTCCCAGGGAGATGAGAAAAAGCCCAGAACTGGCAACTACACCTTGACCAGAAACAATCCATAGGCTAGAACACAATGTGCCATTTTCCATCTAGCTCACCACCTGTTCTCAATTTACAAGCACCGGCACACATTCCTTCAGTGAGAGATGGCAAAGAACCACTCCCAGACTGTGGACTGTACCTGCCAACAACTTCCAAAATTTTCCCATACTCTTCACTGGGATTTTTTAAAGCTTTCCTCCTCGTGGATATGTTGTAAAAAAGGTCCTCCACCTGAAATGAAGATTGATTTTTTCCTTGTAAATTCACAGAAATACATGGAAATAAAGACCCAGGCTGTCTACCTAAAGCTGGCTAGCAGAGAATCCAACTATACTTACCAACAGTACAGTTCTAAGCACTGATTGGGGGAGGGGGGCAAGAGATAAGTCAGCCTTTAACAAAGGAAATAAAGGGTATTTTTCCTGCTTCCCATATTCATTCACTGATTTCTCAAATAGGTACTGGGGGCTCTCTCTAGGTTAGGCTCTTTGCTTTGTGCTGGGAATACGAACACAAAGCACAGTCTTACCCAGGATAGCACACGATTCAGTGGGGGGCAAACATGTAAATTTACAATAATTATACTATCACATGGCATCCAAGCATATTTTCCAAACTAAGAATTCTTATAAAATTTCTGAGATCATTTGGGCTTCTTGGAAAGCACACTGTGGCCACCCTGTGTACCAGATCTGTCTCAACATGCGCTTAGAAGCACATTCATTTCTGCCTCCTGCCTGCTTTATCAAGGCTAGGGTTTAGAGACTTCAGGGAAATGTGTGCCAGCTGGGGCTGAGGTAGAGGGGTGGGACGCATAACATGACAGTGGGAGGCTTTCCAGGATCACACAACGGGAAGAGACCAAATGTGGCACCATAGAAATAAGGCAGCATACTAGATTTTCTCTGAGTAATGATACAACCATATTACTTAAACACCCTCTGAGTGGGCAGATATTCTTTGTTCCATTTGAGAGATGGGAAAAGTGAGGTTAAGAAACACTAAACAACTTGCCTCTGGACACACAACCACTGAGTGGCAAGGCTGAGACTCTAACTCACGTCTTCTGGAGCCAATTTTAAAGGTCCTTTCAATGCCAACTACTTTGCCACTGATTTCTGCCATCCCAGTAAAAGAATCTGCCAGTCTCTGAAAAAAGATGGCGGGAGTACACACAGGCTGCCAAGCCATAAAAGCCAATAATCAGTCCTCTTGTTTAGAGAGAAATATCTTGCTGTTTCTATTAACCAGCAAAGATTCATTTTATAATTTGAAAACTCAGAGACAATTTTTTTTTTCAGACAGTTTTATTCTTTATTTCAGTATTTCTACAAAGCTCTTTTTCAACAATTTATACTCCCTTGTACCATTCTTACCGTGATCTGGGTCCCCTGATTGCCTGCACATGGTTTAGGAGGAGCTTTCAGCTTTCCATCTGAATAATTCGCTCTTAACAGAAAATATAAGAGATTATTATTATCCAATAGAAGCAGAATATCTATCCAAAGGGTAAAAAAAGAAATTATATCAACAATAAGGTATAGCCATGTTATCTACTATCTTAATTACCATTTTCCTCTTTTTCTACTGTTCCATTATCATTCTAATTAGATACCAAAAAAAAAAAAAATCCCTATTCTTCTAGCAAACTTTGCTTTTTAGTTCCTGAGTTTTGAGCTACAAAGCAATAGTTTTGCCATTGCCTACAGTGACAGTAAAATTTTTTCAGTAATTCTGTAATCATTTATGGAGAGGCTACCACATGACAGGCCTGCAGAGGCCCTGGTAACAAAGAAAAACCCTGGAGAGCTCTCAATCTAGGGGACACACTTTTCCCTAAAGTGGAGAACATTGTGCTAAGTGATCTGGGAAGCAAATATTCAGCTGGGGACTGGGGAGGGGGTTGAAACCATCACAGAAGAGATGACAATTCATCTGGGCTCTAAGAGAGGAAGAGTTTCAGGGAGAAAGCACCAAAGACCATCCAGGAAGAGAAAAACATAAAAGCACAGAAGCTTTGGAACACCTGGCACCTGGGAATTTGTGCAGAGAAGAGGCTGAAAAGGTGGATGGAGAGCACAGTGGCGGGGGGGGGGGGGGGGGGTTGCTGTTTAGGGATGACTCTGGATTTCATACCACCACAGAAGGGGAGCCACTGGAGGTCCCAAGCAGGAGCATAATATAATCTCAGTGGTGAAGGACCGGAATTTGCATCCCAGGCTATTTAGGAAGACATTAATTCACAAGTATCTCCCTGTTTTGTGAGAAGGAATTCTGATCATATCAGCACACCCAGATCCTAGGGCAAGTATAATTCACATAGCGTCAAAATCCCCCAGCATCAGTGAAGTATACTCTGGAATGCTCCCTGTTCCATCACATTACATGTCTGTCTGCTGCAGACTGAGAAATACGCAGCACTGTCACTGTTGGAGCTATTTTCCATATTAATTTATGGACAATCGGTATGATTAAAAAAGAATTCTTTTTAAGGTACTCCTAAATTAGGTACTCCTGGGCGCCTGGGTGGCTCAGTTGGTTAAGCGACTGCCTTCGGCTCAGGTCATGATCCTGGAGTCCCAGGATCGAGTCCCGCATCGGGCTACCTG